TTGAATTTTCGTCGATGTTAAGCCTAACGAAGACTATTGTATCGTTAAAAATTATTTTTTTATTTTGTACAAACAAAATAAATTTATTGAAAAATATAAAAACAATAAAAAATTATACTTCATATGTTAATTTAGTATCAAAGATGTAAAATATTTGAGTAGCCCAAGAAATAGCCGAAGATTGCAGCGCCACAGCACTAGCGAAAATTTAAATTTGCCAACTGGAATGCTTTCGGATAACGGACGTTTCGGATAACCAGCTTTCGGATAAACGACACTACTGTATATACAGTAGAATATACTTATTGTAATCACAGTATCATATTAAGCTCCTAATAGAAACAAACCTTCAATCTTGCATTATAGGAGCCTCCTGTAATGCAAAATCTTATTTTATGATGATTCCTCTACTTCATGATCTTTCTTTGCATATCACTAATTACTGTTGATTTTTCTTTTCAGAAATTTATATTTGAATACATTGCGTTAGTTAATTCTAAATTTTCATTGTCAAAAGACTCATGCAAAATAGCTAAGACAACTCTGGTTAAATCTAGTGTTTTTGAATACTTTACTATAATTACAGACAGAAAACATTACTTTGTAGTTGAAGATATAGTGATTATAATGAAAGACACTGAAAAAAGTAAAGTATTTTCAGTTTTGATGGCAATGTCATTTAAAAAATGCTAAAAAATTAGCCTGATGATTCAGTTGGTAGTGATAAAATGACATTTTGGGTTAATATAATCAAAATATACTTTAAATTACTATTTAGAGGAAGGAGTTGGACCTTCTAAAATTCTATGAGTCTGAGTCAGGGGCTTAGTCTACTGACTCACAATCCTGATATCATCAATCATCTAATGTTATCAGAACTAGCACACATTAAAACAAATCAAAACACACTTACTGTAATCAGAATTTCTGTTACCATCATTGTCATGTAGGCAATTTTTTTTTTAGCTGTCTTATTGCACTATCAGCCTCAATAAGTAAACAAAAACACACAATCATTGTTATAGTTAGTTATCATTATCTTAACTAGGTGTTTAAATACTGATTGTTTTAATCATTGTTTCTTCACAATACAGTAACTTAAACTGCTGGCATTTAGTACTTAATTACATGTTAACTATTGTTAAAAGTTGTAGCCTATTGAAAAAAACAGTAGACAACAAGGGACGAATTATTTTTAATGAAGATCTACCACTAATAACAAATATCAAGTTATACATTTTTTAATTGTATTAATTTCATACTCTTAATAATCAGAGTCAATAATACTACAATTACTGTAGATTCTGGTTTTATTTAGTTACTCTGTTTAATGTTATCAGTATAGGCAAGTTTCCAAATGATTACAATTAGTGGAGTCTATTGTATTAAATTTTGTTTCAAATTACTTTAATCAAAATATATAAATGATAGATTTATAAATTATTATTTGTTGAACATTCTTATATAGTTGAAATATTTTTAAATTTAACTGTTGAAAATAAAATTTTTGTCCAGATGGGAAAGAATGTAGCTTAAGTGTAATGAAAAAAAATCTACATAGTACAATAATTACTACTTAATTCTAAATTAGGAAAAAAAATGTTAAACTAAATAATTATTTATATTATATAAACTAATTTAAATGAAAACTTTTACCTCAGTATTAGAAAGCATAAGACACATGTCAACATCACTGGTTGTAGTGCCAAAACCATTCATTGAAGAACCAACAATGTAAACACTGCATTCAACTGAAACAATAAAAAGGAAAACTTTTATCCTGAAAAATACTAATAATTAGGCAATTAAAACAAAGAATAGATCCTTAAATATTAATACTTCTGTAATGTTTTAAAATTTCTTATAATTACTTAAATATATTTTAATCATTTCACAATATTTGAAAATCAAAAATTGTTAATATGTTTTTAAATATATATAAGAATTAAAAAAATAATAAGATTTAAAAAATAAAATCCATTCTTCTTCTTCGTCCTGGTCTATATCCCAGATTATTTGGGGTCAGCCCGGAATGTCAATTTACGCCATGTTGGTCTATCTCTAATTGTTTCTTCATCCACTCCGCAGTCCAGCATATCTGTTTTTATACATTCAATCCGTCTCCCTGTACTTTCATATTTAGTGCCTTTTTTGTTACATGTTCCTCATTCCTTCTCACCACATGTCCAAACCATGTCAGTCTATGGCTTTTTATTTTTTCTGAGATAGATACTACCTTTAAACTTCCTCTGATGTAATCATTTCTAATCCTATCCATTCTTGTGACCCCGCACATCCACCTCAGCATTCGCATCTCTGCCACATGCAATTGCTTCTCTTCGGTGACTGTCATCGGCCAGCACTCGCACCCATACATAAGCACGGGTCTGATGACAGTTTTATATATTAGCCCTCTTATTTTAAATGGCATGCATTTGTCACAAGTTATTCCTGTCACCTGTTTCCACTTTACCACCCTGCGTTGATCCTCCTAGTAACCTCCTTATCACTGTTGCCATCTTTCTGGAGCAGAGAACCCAGATATCGGAATTCAGTACTTTCTGGCAATGGTATTCCATTTAGTTTTAACGAACCAGTACCAGGGAGACTGTCAAAATTACAGAACATATATTCCATCTTGGTTTGGCTAATTTTTAGTCCCTCATTTTCCAGCACATGTTGCCATTTGCTTAGCCGTCTCTAATTCTTCCCTGCCCTCATCAATGAGGACTATGTCATCTGCAAACAGCACACATCAGGGTACATCCTCTTGTACAGCAGATGTTATCACATCCATAACTAATAGGAAGAGGTATGGGCTGAGTGCTGACCCCTAATGTAAGCCCACTCTTACTTTGAACATGTCTGTCAATCTGGCTGCAGTTCTAACTTGCGTGCTGGCCCTATAGTACATATCTTCAATTGTCACAATGTATTGAAGCGGCACACCTTTCCTCCTAAGATACCACCAAAGGACTTCTCTTGGGACTCTGTCATAAGCTTTTTCCAAGTCTATGAACACCATATGCATGTTTCTCCTCATAGATCGGTATTTCTCCATCACCTGTCTCACCACGAATATGTCATCTGTAGTACTACTCCCAGGCATAAATCCAAACTGGCCTTCAGTGACACTAGTTTCCTCTCTAATCCTCTGTTCAATTATCTTTTGAAAAAGTTTCATTGTGTGAGCCAATAGTTTTATCCCCCTATAATTATTACATTCCTGCACATCCCCTTTTTCTTTAAAGATGGGTACTAAATAGCTTCTTCTCCATTCATTGGGTATAGTTCCCTCTAACAGTATTTTGTTAAATAGCTCTGTTAACCAGTCTCTTCCCTCGGACTTTTCATACCTCTATTGGTATCTGAACCAGGCCCACTGATTTCCCATTTTTCATTTTATTCAATGCCAGCTGTACTTCTCATTTCTCTATTATGCCTATGGGCCAATATTTGGCTCTACATTTTCAGTTTTAGTTTGTCTGTCATTTTCCATGTTCGTAAGCTCTTTAAAGTATGTTTTCCACCAGGCCTTATTTCTTCATTTTTAGTTAGCACTTTGTCATTTGTGTTCTTTATACACTTGATATAGGTCATATATTTACTCCCTCTGCCTCTCATTTTCGCAAGTCTATATATGGCTTTTCTACCTACTTTTCCCGTGAGTGACCTATACATTTCGTCCTGGGCTTGAGCCTTAGCTATGGTGACCTCTGTCTTCGCCTTTTTTTTCATCTGCACATAGACATCTCTTTTCTCTTCCCTTACCTTATTATCTCCTTTCTCATTCTGCCAACTTTTAAAAGCATCTTTCTTCTCTCTTATAGTTTTCTTTACTTCTTCATTCCACTACCACACCTCCTCCTCTATTTTCCTAACTGACTTTGTTTCTCTCAGAAGTTCCTTTGCAATCCTTTGTATTTCCCTGGCCACCTGTATCCACCATTCATCTGCCGAGTCATTGCACTTTGCGTTACCATTAATAACGCTTATTACTTTTTCTTTAAACTCTATTGCCCTTTCCCCTTTTAACAACCACCATTTAATTTTAGGTATCAGTTTATCTTTATACTTAATCCTATTAAGATCAATCCTTAATTCCATTACTAAGAATCTATGCTGACTAGTCAAGTCTTCTCCTGGTATCACTTTACAGTCCTTAATCCCTTTTAGAGTAGTCCGTCTTGTTAATAGGTAGTCTATTTGTGATTTATGATCCCAGCTCTTATAAGTTATTAAATGTTCTTCACATTTATCAAAATAAGTGTTGACCACGACTAAATCATAGGCGGTGGCCATTTGCAAAACACACACTCCTTCAAAATTTCTACCACCAAATCCTTTGCCTCCGTGTACTCTCTCATAACCAGCATTATTTTTTCCCACATGCCCGTTAAAGTCCATTCCAATAAATATCTCCTCATCTGCTGGTACCTCTGTCATTATCTTAGCCAAATCTTCCCAAAATTGCTCTTTAACTCCAGCATCTATACCCACTTGCTGTGAATATGAACTGATTACATTAACTATCAGTTCTCCAATACTCAGTTTCACCAATATTAATCTATCATTTACTCTATTGACTATGACTACATTCTTCTTTAAGTTGTTGTCTATGACTATCCCCAAAAAAATAAAATCCATCTTACTGAAAATTTGGCAAATTTAATTTTAAATTTAGTAGAAAAAAAATTGAAAACTGCCTTTTTTTTTTTATTAAGTTAACTAAATATAAAAACACTTCATTCAAAAATATAAACAGTTATTTACTTAATTTACAAATTTCCTTATACAACGAAAACACTAACATTTTTTTTATTACTGAGTTTTCTATTAAATATTTAATTTTTCATATTTATTTTTTACATTTGAAGATGTGCATGGATAAAGATACTATATTATGAAATCAAACTTTTCAATGAATTGATGTTGAAGTTTTTTATTATGTAATTAAGTGTATAAATATAACCACAAAATCACTTGTTTTAGAGAATAAGACACAGTGTCATTTAGTTTCTGAGATCTTTGATGATGGTATGTGAAAGATGAATACATTGTATCTTCATCCACTCATCTTGAATTGATCATCTTTAGATGTAACTAATGTCCTCATAATTTCTCTGCTTATTTACCTATATCAGATATTTTGCTATTTTTACAATGTTTTAAACAGCATATTATGATAATTCATAAATTTAAAATTAGCTCCTTCTGTCATATAAATTATTATAATAATCTAAAATAGGGTGTAGAAGAAAAATGTGAATAAATCTTGATATAAAATAACAAAAATTGATTCACATCCTCAGTCAAGTGCAAAAACATTTTCTGAAATTTAGCTACCTCTCTAATACATAAAAAGTTTCATTTGACAAACTAGATTTAAGTTTATTTATAATATTATGCACTCATTGCCATAAAAATTAGCACACCAAGAAGGAGTTGTCATATCACTGTGAAACTTAGCATGCAGATAAGTCTCAATCAGATATTGAAATGAGTAAAGTTATAGCATGATGACATATTGTGTAATGCCAGCAGAAGGCATTAAATTGTGTCCATCTTGACCTATAAAGAAAAGCATGCAAGGCATCTTATCTGTAGTTTATCTGTTGAAGAGGGATGCTGTATCAATAGAGATGCCTTTGCTGCAATCAAAGATCATATGAACAACTAACCAATTTTGAGAGGGGTAGGATCATCAGGTTGAGAGAAGCCAGATGATCATCTAACAGAATAGTCTGCTATCTAAGCTGTTCTAACAACACAGAGGTGTTGGGACCAGTGGACAAAAGAGCTCGCACACATGGCACCCATGCTCAGGATGCCCTTAGCAGACCACTAGCCAAGAGGACCATCTGGTCCTCCAACAAGTATGAATACAGCTGACTATCATTGTCTGCCATCTGGACACAGGTGGCACCATTACAAGCCCCCATGTTTGTCCATACCATTTTGAGGTGTGTGGGCAAGGAACATTTGGTACTGCAGCAGCCATTACATATGCTAGCATTGACATCACCTACTGTTGCCTCTGTTTGTAGTAGTGTCACTCCTGATGGGACTGGACCACAAATGGAATGGAACAGTTGTCTACAGTGACAAATCCAGATTCAAGCTGGCACTGACAATGGCCATGTTCATGTCTGGAGGCCACATAATAAATGACTCACTCCTGTCTACACTTTGGAGTGGCACACTGCCACCACAGCTGGTGTGATGTCTGGGGTACCATCATATACAATAGCCAATCACCTCCAGTAGTAATACAAAAAAAAAAAAAAAAAATCCAAGGAAACATCACAGCCCAGCAGTATGTTAGTGACATCCTGCAGCCATGTGTTGCTTCTTGTGGCAGGGCTTACAACAGCAAAGATGTGCTCAAGAAAAGGACAATGCTCGACCACACAGCAAAGGCATCCTGTCTATGCATACTTCCCTGGCCAGCCTAGTCCCAATTTGTCATTGATCAAACATGTCTGAAGTCACCTGTGATGCCAAGTTGGATAGTCTAGGACAGGGGTCGGAATTAGCGGCTCTTTGCATAAATGTTTGTGGCTCTTCGGACAAACTCCAATTTCATTTCACCTAATTTCACCGCAGCCTTATAACTTATGAGTTTATGAGATAGAGCTGCCGAACAAACTTCAACTTGTTCTCCTTCCGCACATGACCACACTCGCGTTGATCAATATGAGTCGCATAAGAATGGTAGCATTTGAAGCATATCTATATATATAACCCATTGAACGCGTGTCCGTCCATCCTTGTAACGTTATGCCGAAAACGGCCACTAGAGGCGCCCCTGTCATGTGTCGTATTTCGCACATTTAAATTAACATGCGGCTCTCTGGTACTTTTGTTATCCTGTTTTCATGACAATTTGGCTCTTCTCACTTGACAAACTGCCGACCTCTGGTCTAGGAGTATGGCCAAACTAGAGGATCGCAGTAACTATGGACTGAAATACTGCAGGACACCATAAGGCACCCATATGCTTCCATGCCTGTATCACACAGTGTATTTGCACTAGAGGTGGCCCAACAGGATACTAGAACCTCGTTTCATTTGTAGTTTTTCCTGCAATAATTAATCCTTTTGATTTTGTTTCATAATCACTTATATCACCATTACACTCACCCACATACAGTATAGTACAATTTCATTTGATTCTGACAATGCCTTCTTGGTGTGCTAATTTTTATGACAATGAGTGTATTATTTAAAAAAGCTAAATTTTTAAATTGCTTAATTACTGTTGCTTTCATACTTCTAATTTTTTTTTAAAAATATTTTATGACAGAAAAAACAAAACATAAACTAAGAACAAATAAATTGTATTGAACAACTGAACAATTATATACTTACAATTAAAAGCACAATTAAGAATATTATGTACTGCTGTTCTGAGTCTTATTTTCTGTTCATATATATCTCTAGTTTGTTTATTTTCTAGATAATGCGTCCAGATTTGTTGTGATAACTAGAAGTTTAAAAAGTTTTAATAAAATTAAATTCAACTATTTAGATTTTTTTTCTTTTTCTTTTACCTTTCTTACCTTATCCCAATGAATACTTCCTGAAGAGTTTTGTGTGGAAAATACTGAATTGTCACTTTGTTTCTTTTGTCTTTTGAAATTTTGTTTATTATTTGTAGAAGATTGAGTACGTTTAGGTGAATGTTTTGGATTGAGTTGTCGCCTATAATTTAATTAATATTTCTAAAAAAATTTATTTCACTTATAAGAAGAGAATAAAATAATCATCAGTTTAATATATTATTTAAACAAATATAATTATTTTAACTGCTTATTTTTCATTTTTTATTTTAACTTTTATTTTAATATTTATCTTATAATATAATCGAGATGGGCTGATAATGAAGATAATAAGTGCAGAGCCTAAATGATAAGGAGTTGAAAGTTGGTACACAGTTAGGGTACGTCATGAGAATGTACACTAATAAGAAATTTTTTGAAATTTCCTCCCCCCCACAAGGGAGAGGAACAGGATTAAGGCTTACTGTGAAGAACTCTACTTCTATTATACTATTTTAGATGCAGTTTTTTGCATTTTTGATTGCATTTTAATAGGGTATGCCATGAGAATGCAAATTAAGAATGGATTTTTCAAAATTCCCACCACAGGGGAGAGAGAGGGTTAAGGATTACCCCAAAGAACTCTGCTTCTACTGTATTATTTTAGATGCCTTTTTTGCATTTATGTGAAAAATCAAAGATATTTTAGACCCTTATAAAAATTCTCAACAATATTTAGTATTCCATCGTATATAAAATTGACATGGGAAGCACATGCGCATAAGTTTGCTTTATTCGAACTCTTCGTCTTAATGTTTGATTTTATGTTCAAATTTATATTTATAAATAATTCTGGAAGATCCAGCTTATTTTTCGAATTTATTAAACCTGAAGAAGAACCCAGAAAGACTTACGAAAAAGTTTATTATTCATCATTTAGTGGTACTATGCACTGGTTAGTAGTTGCAGTGAGTCTTATTTATCATTATTCCAGTGTGGTAAAATTCTTGCACTCGGTGAAAACAGGTAAGATCAGCTATAATCTAATAATCTTAATCTTTGCTATTGTTACTTTTTGTCCGAGCAATGCCAGGTTCATCTGCTAATATATATATAATTATTTTAGATGTATTTAATTTGATATATTAATTAGTTAAAATTAAAAATAAGCAATTAAAATAATTAGATGTGTTTAAATAATTTGTGTATGCACACACACACAAACTTATCTTATTTAATAAATAAAATTATTAAAAAATAATTTTTAATATATTTTCCATTATATTTATTAACTAAAATTTAGAAAGAATACTAGTATGAACTATCATAAGTTTCATTAGTTAAATATATTTTTTGCAAAAACAAAATTTTTAATTTTTATTTGATCATCTTGATTTTCTGTAAATCAAGTTTTACTCAAATAATACAGCCAGATTCTTATGAGATTTTAATATGGCTATTGTGAGAGTGGGGACTGCGAGATCCCACTCACTATAATCATGATGGCTAAGATTTTTGTTAAGAAGAAAGAGATCGCAAAAACTCAGTCTATGTCAGGAGCCTGATACCAGTTAGGACTATTATACAAGTCCCAATTTGCATTTAAAATGAACTCTTTCTAATTAGTCTGATTTTAATCAGAGTGGCAAATGAAAATCTAGGAGGGAGTCTCAGACCAACAATGGAGCAAGAGCTAGACACAGACATAGTACAATAATAATAAAACTATACTTAAATTATAAACTATATATATGGTACAATACATGAACAATAATAATAAGAATCAAAATAAACAAAGTTTCCCTTCAATAATCTAATATTCAATTCCTTTAAATCTATCTTAAGAGAGCTTACAGTGTTACAGTCAAATGCAATATCTCATTTCTTTCCTGTATTTTCTGAGTTGTTGACAAGGCTGGATGCATTTTCCTGCATTTGGCAGAAAACTCCTTTTCATTCAGACAACTTTCTAGAGAGTTATATTTCCAATTCCAGCTCTCTGGATGTTGGTGTGAACCCTATTTATAGGATATTCATCTGACCAATCATCTGAGGCTATTCAAATCATCTAGGAAGAGAAGCAACAAGGAACTTCCTTGTGGAGTTGATATCAAAATAAGCATCTCCCCTCAGGAACTTCTTTTAAAAATCAAATCAAAAAAAGTTCATTTGTGACTAACTCAAATGTTTCCTGTTTGTCAAATTTTAGAATTCAACCTAAAATATTGGCCCCTAGGTTCTCACACTAATTTATTGGACTGTTTATTATAAAAGTGGTGCATGTCTGTGTTGAGATATTTAAGGGTTTGCATTTCAAATATATTCAATACTAGTAAAGTCTACTAAATTTACCCATGTTTCTATGAATTTAAATATATGTAAATTCATTATACAAATGATTTTTATGAGAATTTAAATAAAATATTTTTTTGTGCTATAAATGGACTTATATATCATTGTCATAATTCTTAAATTATTATTTACATTTCACTTGAATATTTTAGCCTGGTTTTGTTTGTAAGTAATAACAAACAAAAAACTATTATTTAATCTCAATACAGAAGAACAATTATCTGAGATAATGTGGACCAATGCTAACTCAGATAACTGAAAATCAATAAGAACAGATAGCCGTGGCCTTTTGGATTACAAGTTAAGATTATAAAAAATTTACATAATATTGTTTTTAAATTAAACTTCTTTTTATACCTTAGTGAATATAATCTATTATAAAAGAAATTTTTCTTTAAACTTACATCTTGAAAGACACATCCAATCTTATAATATAGGATAGACCACTAGGTGTAGTTAATGGATTCCACAAAATTACTATACAAACTGACTCTTCACTAATTAGAAATATATTTAATAAGAAAAATAACAATTCAATTGATAAGGAATTTTTTTCACTTAACAGATAATCTGAACTTTAACTAGTTGTAATTGCAAACCACATTTTCTGATATTTTATTCTTCATTTGAATCATAATTCAAAATATATCAGAACTCAATTGTCCTAAACTTTTGAGTTCTTCTGAACTTGAAAAAATTGTGGCCAACTTGACAATTCTTCAAGTTTAAATTGACATCATTATCAGCACTGTTTAGTATAGTAATTTTTCTTTGACATTTTTAATCACCGAATAGATATTTATGCACCTGTACAAATTTCTTTGCACTATTCTAGAAAGGATATGAAGCTATTTATTAAAATAAATTTGGTACATACACATATGTTAACAGTATATATATAAAATGATCTGATCCACTTTTATCTAGGCCTAATTACATTTAAGACATTTTTTTTTTATCAAAATGTTTTTTAAAAATATATAAATTTTTTTATACATTTTAGGCAGGCACTGAATTATGATAGAATATCATTCTGCATTAATTTAATGCCTTGGTACATATTTTAAGCTGTACCATAGTGAATCCCATACTAAACAAAGCTGCATTAAATGAGGTGAAATACCTCATTTAAACTAGACTGTATAAACTGTAATAACTTAACTGTATAAACTAAAATAATAATGTCATTTAATTAATAACAACAACTGTGATAATGGCTGTATTAATTAATATATTATGGATTTACTGAAGTAATTATATATATTAAATTTTAAAAAACAATTTATATTATTGTATATGCTTCATTAAATCAGATCTTATAAGAAAGAAATTTCAACTTACTTTAGTCCTTTTGTTTGACTCTGTTTAAGACCTCCTAATGCACTTTTGTCTTGATCTGTTAAATTAGTTTCTAAAGTAATAGCAGAAGATAGAGGAGTTGAAGGCCGTGAACCTAAAAGACTTCCATCACAGCTACTTGATGATTCTCCTAAACTATCTCTTGAAAAATGTCTCTGTGGATGATAAAATCTTACAGGCTGCACTGGTGGCCAATTATTTGCAAAATATGGAAACGAAAGTCTCTCTCTTTGATTAGGAACAGTCATATAAGGATTTATTCCTGATAACCGATACATATTCATTGGAAATGTCAAGGCAAATATGTTTAAAGGAGGACTTCCTACAAGTCGTGATTCTATTGGAATCAATGAATAATTATCTCTTCCTGGCGGAACCATCCATTGTGAAGGCATTTGGAGCATGCTGTCAAATCTGATAAATGCCAAGGAATGTAGAGCAATATAGTCAGATATAACAGTCAGGAAGTTGTCTTCAAAGGATGTGATCTTTAAGGAAATAGGTTGCTTTATTCAAAATCATTTTGTCATAATGTTATAAACATGTTTCATTATCTGTTATGAAATAAAAAAAATTTGTTTTTATCATAAATTATAAAATGTTAAAGAAAGTATAATAAATTTTAAGTTTAAAGCAACTATGAAAATCCTAAAAATATCAAAAAAATTGGGAAATGACACAATCAGTTATTAATTAATCATTTATATTGCTGAAAAACACAATAAAATACTAGATGAGATTTAAGCGACAACTTCCATATGGTAAAAGCACTAAGACATTAACTCAATCAATTAAAACTTAGAAATGAATTTATCATATATGACAATTACCTCACATTTTTCTACAGTTTGGATTATTAATTTAGATCAATTTACTGTAGTTATTAATAAAAATGTACAGTATTGATATTTTAAACAGACAAGTAAATATACAAGCAGAGGAATAAGTGCAAAATATTTAAATTAGTATTTTATACCTGAAATGTATAAAACACTAGTTGAAGAACTCAAAAAATATCAACATACAGTTCCAAGTACTTTTGACCCTCTCAGCTCACATTCAGGAATGCATCATCACCAAATAATATACAGTGGTGCCTCATATAACGTACTTAATCCGTTCCAGGTGCATGTCCGTTAAGTGAAAAGTCCATTATACAAAATGCATTTTCCCATAGAAATGCATGTTAAAACATATAATTCGTTTCGCAGCATAAAATAACTGTACTGTACCATAAAAAAATGAAAATGGAGCAGTCACCAATTATGCCGGGTAGTCAGATGTTGTGAGGAGGAAGTGGAAGAACACTTTCTTTACACATTCACATAGATATAGACTTTTTACACATCGCAGCTGGTCTCTTTTTATTGTTTTTTTAATCAGTGTCAGATTCAGGAGAGGCTATCGGAGCTTGCAGGGTCATCTCCTCTTGTTTCATCCTTTGTTTTTTGGCAGCTTGCTTCTTGAAAAACATATCCAAGGTGGTCTGTTTCTCTCTCTTCTTCAAAACTTGTCAGAAATGATGGGCGAGGGTGTCATTGTAGAGGTCATTGATCTTGTTGGCCTCAGCTCTGTTTAGATAATGAGTGTTGGTAAACTCCTAAAACTCTCCCCATTTGACAAAGAAGTTTTTGTCAACTTTCAATTTTTCTGATGAAGTCTTGCTTTGTTTCAATTGAAATCATCTTTCTGTTTTTTTTGAAGCCACAATTTGCACAACACTTAAATAAATGTAAATACCCTGCACTGAGGTGATGTATGTAATAAACAAGGGAGCAAGCCAAATCCCAATGGGTGCTCTTTACTAAAGATATACTAATAATACTAATATATTATAAAAATAGCAGATTGTCATTGGCAACGGCAAAAGAGTGGAAACATCATTAGCACTTATTTGCAGAAAGCCCATTGTTTGCCTCACGTAACTGCCAAACGGAAAGTCTGTTGTTTGCAGCATCCGTTATTCAAGGAGTACGTTATATGAGGCACCACTGTAACTAAAAACCTTAAAATCTTTCCAACTTTCAGCCACATAAAAATTAAGTATTTAAAATGATTAATAATCTTAAAATACATCAACACCATAATTTTCCAGCAATATCTTTTTAATATCAAACATACTAGCATTTTCAGATATTTTGAATATCCATTTTCAGGAAATCTTTAAACAAAACATCACAAATAGAGAAATAAAACACAGCATATAATCTACAAGTTCAGATTTAAAAGAACTTAAATAATTCAAAGTCCAAACATTAATGAGAACACTACAAAATTTTAAAATGACAGTTATAGAACAATGTAAAATAATAAAGAAAACCATTTAAAATTAATACAAACAAAATATTCAAATAAACATAAACCTAACAGCATTCATAGGCATAATTCCTCTTAGACATACAAAACTGATTTAATAGAAGTGAAGTTCTTTCCCAACTCCGTCTCGTTGGTTTCCGTGTGTATCACGATTCGATGTAGTGATCAAGGTTCAATGGAAAGCACACCTCCACACTCAAATTGTTAATATTTACAGTTTATTTACAGATTCTATACGGAGAAAGTACAAGTTTGAAAACATAATATATATACAGGATAACAATGCGTGGTGACTCACGTACTAGATTGGTTTTCCGGGAAATGTTAAACTTTGGAGAGGCCTCAGTTAGCTTGTGGAGTCGGCTCAACTGCACGGTCAGCCCAGTCTCTGCACTAACCTGTCCGAGATGTTTACCAGAGGAGAACACTCTCTCTATGCTCAGCGGGCCTCTCAAGTGCCTGAGACTACCGTGCACCAGTCTCTTGCCCTTCTCTCCTAATCTCTCGTTCACCCCGCAATTTAAGGGTTTTTTTGAACAAGGACTTCCGACCAATCACAACCCCTTCTTGCCCGAACAGCTTACACTTGGGTCTGCTGTCATCCGACGAGAGTGAAGCTTACAGAAACATCTGCCACTTGTTTACATTCAGTTGTTTACCATATGGCAATGGTCTAATGTCTGATTCCAGGTGGGTCCAATTGACAAAGCCTGCGCTTCCTTTGTTTTCCCTCTGTTTACAAGTCAACACATTACAAATGGTATTACCCGACCACACGTGGGTCCAATTGACAAGGTTGCGCCTCTTGTTCTCACTCTGCTAAAAGGTCAATACTTTACAATAGATTATTTCCAAATATTGGAAATACTGTTATCCTATCTTCTTCCTGGAAATTAATACATTTTCCCTGCATGTTGATTTGTAAATCTCTATTATTAGGCTAAGACTCCACTGCCGTAAAAACGGTGTAAAAACCCCTTGCCGTAAAAGCTTTTAATCACGTGACCCCGATATCTTACGCTTGAGCAGGCCGTAAAACTAGCGTAAAAGCGAGTTGAGCTATGTTCAACTTTCGACGCGAATACGGCCGTAAAGAGGTACCTTCCACCAATCAGAAGTTAGTGAAATCTAGGTCATCGCGACACGGAGCTAAAATGGCGGAAAACGAGCTTTTGTGTACGTTCCCTCGTGGCTACTCTAGAATAGATCCAGAAAGATTTATCGAAAACATCCGAAAGTATTCGTATATCTACGACAAGAGGTAACCTGATTATAATAATGGATACCAAAGGAAATCCTTCAATTTATAGTAGTATATAATAAAAAAGTTAAGCTTATAAGTGCTGTATATTATCTTAATAATTACGATAATAAAAGTTAGTATATGAAAGTAAAGATATTATTTTTACTACATTTGTAATTATAGTACAGAAAAAACTCGTAGAATATAATCATTGTCTTTATATCGATATCACGTATACAACCATCTTTCGTTTCTACCAATTCACGTGCGAAGAAGTATTTACTTTCGACACTTGGGGCAGCACCGTTGCCGTAAAAACTTCGCGCTAGCCGGATCTCCACCATAATCCTAGCGCAAACGCAAATAGGTCACGTGATTAAAAGCTTTTACGGCGAGGGGTTTTTACGCCGTTTTTACGGTAGTGGAGTCTTAGCCTTACCAAAGCTCTCCAATCCTTAATGGTTTATATTGGATGGATGATCTTAGCCTGCTGCCATCACATCTACATTTCAGGAATTATGGGAAAATGGCCAATGCAATGGCATTGGCCATTTTCCATGGTCCTCTTTGCTTAAGGAATATGCTTACTTCATAGGAAAGTTAAGTTCCTAAATATGCCCAGTATCTTTGAAGGGTAAATACAGTCATTATTTTGTAGAAGCAGAATACTGTAGAGATCCTTTTGTAACAGATAGTGCTGTTTGTTGATCTTGCAGTTTCAGCATGCATACTCTGTAGTTGCATGTTGTAGGTATCTGGCTGTTCTCATGGTCCCTTCCTCTTCATTCTTTCTGTATTATGTTGAAATCTGGTCTCAAATGTATTAACCAAATTCTCTACAATATTCCTTTGAAAACCATAGAAGGTTGCTACTTGCTTGATATATTCCAATTTCTTGTGAAGTGTGAACAAAGCTGGAGCAATGTGTATAAACACCTTACTAGAATGATGTTGAGTCATGCAATATAGCCAATATATAAAATGGATGGTGTTCAGACTGTATTTCACAATTCCTTCCAAGAGTGATTATCAAGTCCAAGCACTAAAGAGTTACTACTCTTGTTACAGACTATACACTAAGACTATATGAGGAGCAGTTGGCTGTGTCAAAGAATAAATTCAAATTAATTACCAATTCTACAAAATAGCATACTCAAGGTATGCTGATGTCTATGATATAATGTTGAAATTTAGGAATAACAGACTTTTCAAGATTCTCAAAATTAATTCACATAACATCCCAGAAAGAAGGCTTCTGAGATGTTATGTGAATTAGTGTGTATAGACTCCTCTATTCTGTAGATATTTTCTGTTGTTAAAAATGGAAACAACATACAAGACTGATCATTTCTAAAATATCTTGATAAATCTATTAAAATCTTTAACATTAGTAAAGAAAAATTCATGTAAATGGCAAAAGTGTGGTTATATCTTAATTGAGAAGTATAACAATTCAAAATTCAATATTGTCACACATTCATCATCTGTCAACAAAATGTCTTTTACTCTATATCAGGGGTGTCCAACCCGAGGCCCGCATGCAGCCCAATAAAAGTGTAAACAAAACAGACAATTTTTTAAAAATTTTATTTTATTTCAACGG